CTGTACTTCACTTGTACTTCACCCGTACTTCAGAAGTACGAAGTCTCGCTTTTCCCCCCTTGACCCACACTCACACCCACACCCACACCCACACCCTCCGGTAAACCAGTTTAAATAGACTCCGTCATAGACCATAACCACAAAGTTCAGAAGGTGTCTTACAATCATTTGAGTTCATTTCCAAAACCTTAGATCTTCTTCTCTTTAAAAATTCATTTAATTTGATTGTTCTTGCACCAAACTTGAGCATTAATACACGACTTTACATGGTTCGTAATTCCTTGAGGTTTAAATTGAATTCCACAACCAGGACATACATAATGATTATTTGCATTTTTAACAAGAATTTCTATTATTTTTCTTTTGGTCACTCCATGGGAAGCAGCCAAGTCATCATTTCTTCGATTCACAGCTCTTCGTTTATATTTATAAATAATTTCTTTAATATTTTGATGTACAGGTCCACTCTGTACATTTTTGTTGATTAATTCTCTCCAGTAATCTCTGTTTAACGAAGCTTTTCTCCAGTTTTTAATTTGACAGTATTCAATATCTTCTTTCACTTTATCCACCCATCTTTTCCTGATACCGATGTTACTAGGTCGTTTTTCTTCTGGAAAGTAAGAGAAAGTGATCTTTTTCACTATTGATGGTTCATTATCACTGTTCATTATTCTATTGGCATGACCAAACCACCTTAACCTGTTTCGACATAAAATATTTTCAATTGGTGGCTGTCCAGTGATTTCTAAAATTTTATCATTTGACATACGATCACCTAAATTAACACCAATGATTATTCTAAGACACTTCATATAAAACGTGTTAATTCTTTGTTCATGAGTTTTAGTGATTGACCAAGTTTCACTTCCATAGAGCAGCACTGGAAGTACGCATGCTCTATATATTCTCAATCTTGATTTAATTGAGATCGTCTTTCTATACCAAATAACACTGTGTAGCATATTGAACGCTGTGGATGCTTTCAATAACCTTGTGTTGATTTCCTCATCAGGTTTTTGATCTCTTGATACAGCACAACCTAAATAAGTGAATAATTGTACAGTTTCTACCTTCTGATTTCTAATATTGATATCAAAATCAGGTTGACCAACTTCATGATTGTGAATAATTTTATTATTTTGATCAGTTGCTAGTTGTTTCAGTGTCATAGTACACGTTTTTTTTTACATTCATTGATAACCCGTACTCTTGAGTAATTTTTTCAAAGGTTTCAATGAAAGTCTTTAAATCATCAGATGTTTCACACATAACTACCAAGTCATCTGCGTACAGCAGAGCCAGAATGTCAAAGTTCACATACTTTTCCTTTGCACCGTGAAAAAAATCATTACTTCCATAAGAAAATTGTACACCTGTCACATTTGCTTCTTCGATAACCTTCCTAATGATGAAATCAAATAAAATATTGAATAAAATTGGAGAGGGAATGCCTCCTTGCATTACACCATTATAAATTTCGAAGCTATCTGAGAATTCACCATTTATTTTAACCTTTGCTTTTGAATTTGTGTAAAGCATTTTTAAAAGATTGACTAATTTTTCTGATATCCCATATTTCCTACATACTTTCCACAATAGTTCACGGTTAACGGAATCGTACGCTTTTGATATATCAATAAAACATAAAAATAACGGCTTGTTAAATTCTCTACGTTTTTCCATGCATAATTTTAATATAAAGATTTGATCAATTGTAGATCTATTAGATCTAAAACCAGACTGTGCTTCCAATAATTGACGATCAACTAGGAGTTGAATGCGGTTTAAAATAATGCGAGAGAAGAGTTTAATAGTCACATTGAGAAGAGAGATACCTCTGTAATTGTCACATAATTGTTTGTCACCTTTTTTAAATAATTTAATCAAAATTGCTAAATTCCATTCCGCTACCATTTCTTCCCGTTCCCATATATCACTGAAAATTTCATGTAACCACTTGATAACTGGTTCACCACCGGCTTCAAGAAGGTCAGCAGTAATCTCATCGTTACCGGGTACTTTCCTTAGCTTCATCTGATTTAAAGCTTTCCTTACCTCAGGTATTGTAGGTTGGACATTTTGACGTTCTTCTTCCTTCTTTTTTATTCTTTTTATTTTAATTTGATCAATTAATTGAGGATCTACTGATGATGCAACATTAAGTACACCATCAAAGAATTCTCTCCATCGTCCTAATTGAGCAGTTGCATTTAAGATCAATTTTCCATGTTTATCTTTAATAGGCATATTCTCCACCCTCTTCCTTTTACCAGTAAGTCGTCTAATAATATTAAAAGCATTTGCTGGATCATTTAATTTAATAGATGCTTTAATCTCTTCACATGTTTCATCCCAATACTCTTCCTGACGTTTATCAATTTTGATCTTTGCTAATTTTCTTAAACGTTTATATTTATTAGCATAATCAGTTTCTAATTTTGTTCCTCGATGATTTTGCCAATTAACAAAAGTTGTTGATTTCTTCTCTACAATTTCTAATATTTCATCAGTGAGCCATTCTTTCCGTTTACGAATTTTGTTCTTATCTATTCTGAAGATTTTCTCTGCATTTGTTTTCATGTGTTCAACAAATCGATCATATTTTTCATCAATACTTATTGATTTATCTGTTGCATCAGAAAGTGTTGGAATGAGATCTTTTTGAAATTGTTTTAATGCATTAACATTTTTCATTTTTGTAGAAACATAAACTCCTTTCTTCTGAACTAATTTCCTTCTGCTTTTAAAATGTAGTTTAATTTTTATTCGCATTAAATGATGGTCTGTACCAATTGCACCAGCAGCTTTTCTATACATCCGACAATCTTCGATATTTGATCTAAATTTTTTATTTACTAATGTATAGTCAAGCATATGCCATTGTTTACTTCGTGGATGCATCCATGATGTTTGATGTACTAATTTGTGTTTAAAGAAAGTATTCGTAACTATAATATTATTAATTGTACATAGATCAATCAGCTTTCCTCCGTTTTCATTTGTAGTGTCTACTGTGTAAGGACCAACACTATTAAATAAATTTTGTTGTCGTTGTTCTTTTCCTCCTATTCTTGCATTAAAATCACCCATGATAATATACATATCTTCAGTTGGTATTCGATTGATAACATCTTGTAAGTCATTATAGAATTTTTGACTGTCATCATTCATTTGGTTGTTAGTTGGATTCACAGGAGCATAAATAGAAATAATAGTTACATTTACAAATGAGCATTTCAGTCTAATTTTTACGATCCTCTCACTTACTGCTTCCCACTCCGAACCAGAATCTTTCCATACCTTAGCAGCAACTTTGTCCAAACAAACAGCTACTCCATGAGCTTTTCGAGTTTTATTTACTGATGGTAATCCGGAAAAAATCCATGTAAAATCATTGATTAATTTTACTCCACAATCATACATGCCTGTTTCACTTAACGAAGCAATTTGAATACGATATTTTTGTAATTGTTTCATAATAAGTTCCTTCTTCGATTGTTTAACACAAGTTCTAACATTCCAACCACCAAAGAAGACACTGTAATGTGCGTTCGCGCACTTGTTTTTCTTCTTTTCTGTAGCAAGTTGGTTTCAAGTCTGACTGACGAGTTGCTAGCACGACCGTCCGACAATTGGCTACCGGCAGCCCAGGGTCGTCTCCCCTGTGTGAATTAAAATTCACCCGGCAGGCTTGTTCAAAGCTACGTGATCAGTTGAGGAGGGGATGTGAGATCGTTTTTGGAGGGATAATTTATTTCACGAAGACAGTTACACACACAAGAGAGGTAATACTAAATGCTACTGCTCTCCACCAAGACAAAATAACAACTGAATTTAATCAAATTCTGAGAAAATCCGAAAGAGAGAGAAAGACAGAACGAAAAAGAAAAATCTAACTATAGAATGAACGAAAGAGAAAAATCTAACTGTAGAATGAACGAAAGAGAAAAAAATCACATAACAGAAGAACGAAAGAGAAGACACTAACAAATGAAAGAAAAATAAGAAAAGGCCAATTGAACGAAGTTCAATTAAGTTAGCGTCGACATAGTGTCATCTGTTGACGCTAACAGTATACGGCCGCCGTATTTCGCCGTATACGGCGGTATATAGCGTCGTAAACGGCCGTATACGGTCGTATCTGGTTGTCGTAATGCTCGACCTGGGTTAGAAACGGCTTATCACAGACGTGACAGACATCCTTAGCAACGGTTTATCACAGACCGTGACAGACACCTTAGCGGTAAATTCCAGTTTCGCCGAAGATGAATTTCGCCGAAAGAAATTTAGCCAAAAATAGAGTTCGCCGAAAATGAAGTTCGCCGATTCCATTATCGCCGAATGAATTTATCACCGAAAACGAATATAAGTTACAGTTAATCGGTCTTATAGACAACAATTATATTTTAATTAATTAGCTCATGATACCGAGTCAGATGGTTACCGAGTCAGATGGTTACCAAGTCAGTTGGTTACCAACTAAGGTGGTTACCAACTGAGATGGTTACCAACCGAGGTGGTTACCAACT